ATTGACATGGTATCAGAGCCTCTTCATCGATCTCGGGCTTAATCGTGTTGCTTCTTGTGGGGTTTCTTGGTTCTCGCTTCGCAGCAGCTCTCCAGACTTGTCTTGCGTGTGTGGGTACGGTTGTTCTCTTCAGAATTTGTCTTAGTATTCAGCTTGGCTTTGGGTTTCTTTATTGTGGTTATTTGTGAAGCTGCTGCTTGGGTCTCTTTTGGTGCTGCGTTTCCCAAAATCATGGAGTCTTCCAAACTTGATGCTTTCACGGTGCGCTTCGATGGAAAAAATTATGCATTGTGGGAACTACAGTTCCGCCTTTTTGTTCAAGGTAGAAGGCTGTCCTCGTTCCTAGATGGTACAGCTGCGGTGCCTGGTGATGATGCTACAGCCAAAGCTAAGGAGGATTGGGCGGCCAGTAATGCCCAAGTTATGGGCTGGATTCTTGGCTCGGTTGAGCCGTCGATTGCTTTGAGCTTGCGGTGTTTCAAAACCGCTCATGCTATGTGGAGTCACTTGGCTGCTTTCCACTCTCAGTCAAGTGCCTCTCGGAAATTTGACATCGAGCTTGACTTGGCACGGCTGCAGCAGGGAGACCTTGACATACGTTCGTACTATCAGGCTGCCGTCAATTTATGGACCGAGCATGACATGCTATCTGCATCGCTATTGTCAGTTGAAGCTTCGACTGAAATACAGAAGGATCGAGCTAATTCTCGTATGATGGCCTTCCTGATGAAATTACGGCCAGAATATGAGAGTATTAGGTCTTCTTTGCTTCATAGGAATGTGACTAAATTGGAAGATGTACTGAGCGAGTTGATTAGAGAGGAAACTCGCTTGCGTAGCCAAGCAAAACTTGATGTTTATCAGTCCCAGCCTGACTCTTCTTCGGTCTTTGCTGTATCAGTGGATTCCACTACTAAGCCTGCGCCTTCCCGTAATCCTACTGCCTTTGCTGTTAACTCTGAGAAGCCTAGGTTCCATCGCACTCCTAGTGGCGAGGTCATTTGTTACTACTGCAAGGAGCCTGGCCATGTGCAACTCCATTGTCCAAAGAGGAATATTTGTAATTACTGCAAGACTTCTGGGCACAAGATTGGGGCCTGTCCGATCTTAGCGCAGCGTGGTCGTTCTCGAGCTCCGAGCGCTAGCTCTTCGGGTTCTTCACGAGGCGGCACTGCTTCAGGTTCAGCTTTTGCTACAACAGTGCTACCTGGGGCATCTTCTACCCCCTCGATGGGCATCTCTGAAGATGCCATTCGCCAGATGGTTCAGGCTGCGATCAAAGACGCACTTCCCTCGGCATTAGGTTCTGTTTTTTCGGCTGGTAGGCAATCTTGTTCCCCCTCTTGGCATATTGATTCAGCAGCTTTTAATCACATGACGAGCTTGCGTCCGTCTTTTTGTTCTTTTAGTCCGAGTTCGTCTGTTACACTACAGGTTGCTGATGGTTCTTGTTTACCTGCCAAAGGGGTTGGGATGGTTAATCATAAAGGGGTACAGCTTAAGAATACTTTATATGTTCCCAATCTGGTGCCTAATCTAGTGTCCGTGGGCCAGTTAGCGGAGGATGGTTGCAGGGTTGTATTTGATTCTACTGGTTGCTCTGTGCAGGACAAGAGCACGGGGTCGGAGATAGGTCGCGGGACTAAAGTTGGGCGCATTTATACCTTGGATCACTACCAGCGCGAAGGGTCTGGTGGCGGAGGGAGAGACTTCAAGCCCTCAGCTACGGTGGGCTGTGGAACATCAGTGGGAGTTTTTGATTCTGTTGGTTTTTCTGTTAAGTTGTCGAACTGGGATTTATGGCATCGTCGGTTAGGTCACCCTCATTCTGCTCGTTTATCAGAGATGTTTAAGAATAAGTTGTTATCTGGAAGTTCTGTTTCAGATTCGAGTACTTGTATTTCTTGTGTTGAGGCCAAACTGTCACAGCATTCATTTAGCCTGAGCACTACAGAATACTCACAACCTTTTGATTTGGTGCATACGGATTTGTGGGGTCCCTCTTCCGTCACATCTCGAGTTGGGTTTCGATATTTTGCGCTCTTTATTGATCATGCCACCCGTTATACCTGGGTGTATTTTCTCCGTCAAAAATCAGATTTACTGCAGGTAGCCAAGGAGTTTTTGCAGATGGTTCGTACACAGTTTGGTGTTGACGTTAAGGTGCTTCGATCCGATCCCGGTGGGGAATTCTCTTCTGGTCCTCTTCAGGAAGTATTTAAGGACCGTGGCATCTTACCTCAGCAGTCCTGCCCGGGTGTCTCTCAGCAGAATGGCTTGGTTGAGCGTAAAAACCGTCATGTTCTTGAGCTTACTAGAGCTATTCTTTTTCAGTCTTCTGTTCCGTCCACTTTCTGGGTCGAAGCAGTTCATACGGTTGTGTATTTGATTAATCGGCAGATCACTCCGGTTTTATCTCAGCGCAGTCCATTTGAAGCTCTGTTTGGGAAGAAGCCTAATTATCATTGGTTACGAGTTTTTGGCTGTGTGTGTTACGTACTCCTTCCACGAAGAGAACGCCACAAGTTGCAGCCCAAAGCGATTAAGTGTGTATTCGTCGGCTATAGTGAGAAACATAAAGGATATGTTTGCTATGATCCAGCCAATCATAGAATTCGTATCTCTCGTGATGTAGCGTTTCTCGAATATTTGACACACTATGGATCTTCCCCACAGGAATCTGCAGCTCAGTTACGGTTTCTTCAGCCTGTGGATCTTTTCTCCTCCGTTTCGGCAGATGCACCAGATGAGAATGATCCTCCAACTCCTCAGCATGCATCCACGACTCTAAGCCCTGGTTTCTCCTTTGCCGAGTCGTCTGCCAGCTCCTCTCGCTCGGATTCTTCCTCCTCGCAAAGCCCGACCTTGCATGGATTCTCCACGTCCGAAGCCATGCACAACTCGACCTCTTCTCCTGTTTTGTCCTCGGCTGCTACCTCTTCTCCCTCGGCCAGCGCACGCTCCCAGTCACCAGGTCCACCTAATATTGTTGAAGAAGTGCCACCTCTCCGCCGGTCCGATAGGGCTAATAAGGGTAAACCACCAGCCCATATGACTGACTTTGTGGCATTTTCCACTTCACAGTACTGGGTTCCTGCTACGTTTAAACAGGCTTGTGGTATTCCTCACTGGGACAACGCGATGAATGTGGAGATTGATGCTTTAGAGGCTACTCACACATGGGATATTGTCCCTCGCCTTCCTGAGTATTCGGTTATAGGGTGTAAGTGGGTCTATGCAGTTAAGCTGAATCCCGATGGGTCTCTTGAACGCTTCAGGGCGCGCTTGGTTGCACAAGGTTTTAAGCAGGCATTTGGCATCGATTACGAAGAAACGTTTGCGCCTGTTGCTAAGATGCAGACTGTCCGTACATTACTTGCCATTGCAGCCTTGAAAGGCTGGACACTGAAGCAGTTAGATGTGAAGAACGCGTTTCTTCATGGGGACTTGAAGGAAACAATTTACATGGAATGTCCTCCTGGGTACTCGAAGGGTGACAAATCTAAGGTATGTCGCCTACGACGATCGCTATATGGTTTAAAGCAGGCTCCCCGAGCATGGTTTGAAAAATTCCATGCTACTATCATCTCGGCGGGCTTCGTCCAAAGCAACAATGATCCCTCATTGTTCTTGCGCAGGACATCTCGTGGACTTACAGTATTACTTATCTATGTGGATGATATGGTGATTAGTGGTGATGATATACAGGGCATTCAGTCTCTTACTCAGACTCTTCATGCGTCTTTTAATCTTAAAGAACTGGGTGATCTCTCTTACTTCCTAGGCTTGGAAGTCCATCGGTCCTCGGAGGGTCTTCTTGTATGTCAGCAGAAGTATATTTTGGATCTTCTTGAAGCTGCCCAGATGGATACGTGTGTTCCTTGTGCTACTCCCATGGAGCAAAACTTAAAACTGAGTCAAGAGGATGGGGATCTTCTTCCTGATGGTTCTCACTATCGTAGCTTGGTTGGAAGTTTGATCTATCTTACACATACTCGTCCTGACATCGCCTATGCTGTACAAGTTGTTAGTCAATTTATGGCCTCTCCACGAACGTCCCATATGGTGGCAGTTAATCGCATTCTGCGTTACCTTCATGGTACTCAGGATGTTGGTATTTTCTTTCCTTCGACTGGGGAGTCTGTGATTGAGGCTTATGCTGATGCGGACTATGCTGGTTGTTTGGATACTCGGAAGTCTACATCGGGATGGTGTGTGAAGATTGGATCGTCTTTTGTGTCATGGCGTTGTAAGAAGCAAGAGAGGGTGTCAAAATCATCTACAGAGGCAGAATATCGATCGATGTCTGAAGTGACATCGGAACTCGAATGGTTGCAGCGCTTGGTCACGGAACTTGGACTACAATGTGCACTACCTATGCGATTGTATGCAGATAATACTAGTGCTATTAGGATTGCTACTAATCCTGTACTTCATGACAGAACGAAGCACATCGAAGTCCATGTTCATTACATTCGTCAATTAGTAGCTGAAGGGAAGATCGAGTTAGCATACATTACCTCTGAAGATCAGACTGCGGATATTCTCACGAAAGCTGTTGCTTCTACTCGTCATTGGTTTTTGGCATTCAAATTGATGTTGCGTAAGCATCATCAATTTGCGGGAGGGTGTTGAAGTTATAGAAGTTAGAGGGAGTTAATTGTAATTTGCCATTAGTTCTTTTGTATTATGGACGGCTACGTGAGATAGGGTTTGGTGAGCTCGGGTATATATTGGGTGATAAGAGCCAGACTGTAACCTAAGGATTCTTGACGTATACAATTGACTCTGAGAGGTTGGCCCTCTCCGTGGATTAGTCTCAACGATACTCGTTGAGGATACCACGTAAATATCGTGTTTTGTTCTCTTTTCGATTTAGATTGACAGTTGTGGCCCCGAACAAGGCCGTGCTTCGAGCCGTAAGTGGTGACTATTTAGGACACGGCCTTGGGCACGACCGTACTTATGGGCGTCGATCACGACACCAATTTTCTTCACTTCTTTCATCGGATTTTCAAGGTTTTTTACAGTCCCAAGCCCGCCAACCAACACTGATGTGTTGGCCTCGTAAATTTGGAAAGATGACAGCAGAAAGTTGCAGTTGATTCAATTGAAGCGAAAAATTACTTTGCCTTGGGCAGAGATCTCTGGTGTTCATTACTTCAGCGGACACATAACTTCTTTGATGTATTGCCATCTTTAAAAAAAGATCTAGTCTACCTTCAATGCCCAATTAGGTCATCACTCTCTATGCCAATGAAGTATTGGCTAAACATGAACACACACCCTGCACATTCAAAGAAGTCATAAGTAACGACGCAAAGCGATGATGGTTCTTGATCACGATTATCTATTAGCACACAACTGGGACATATGCTCGACCTTTTGTTCCAGTGATTCTATCATGAATTGACTTCTCTAAAGTAGAAAAAAAGAATAGACGAAGACTGTTTGTAAGACCAACAAAGTTCGAGTAACTTTACCATTTTACTGCAAGCTTATATCATTCATGCATATACTAGCAAGGATTCTCTTGAGCTTTCGTCACACTTGCTGCTATAGTGGTAGTATAATGCCAATTGAACGACTCCCAGAATTGTTCCAATTCCATTTGGTACCTGAATTAAGAGAGATGCATGAAAAAAAAATTGCTAGCATAATGCATAAAACCTGCAAAGGGCTTCAAAGTTTTGACATTCGGTATGGAATTGAACATGTTGAAGGTAAACAAACAAGATGTACTATGTAGACATGATAATCAAGCATAGGAAAGGAACCTTGAAAAATATCTAAAGAGTAAAAGTGCCCATCACTAATATATGCTTGTCTATGGGTCTGTGTGTCTTCATGAAGATTGGAGTAAATAACAAGTGAAGAAAATGTGTTACTTACATATATGAAACCATCACCCCTAAGTATTCCATAGTCGAAGATTAATAGACTCATCAAGAATATCGCAAGCGATAGTAGGAATGACATGTATTCGATGCTCCTAGTTTTCACTACCTGATTCTATCCCCAAAATAACTCATCAAAACTGTTAGAATGAAGTTAATGAACCCAAAGATCAAAAGCAAATGGAAGAGATGATCAGCTTACAATGATAAAAACCGGGGAAGCAAACATGAAAATAAGAGAGAACACACTAATGTATCCAATGGACAACTGCCGAGTGTGCGAATCGAGGAATCTCAAGCTCACAAAAGCAATACTAGCAAATAATGCAAACACCCGAACAAGCAACACAGACATCTTGAGCTGTAGCAGAAATTTCAAATAACAATTCAAGTCAGTAGGAACAACCAACACATTTCGTGTCCATGAAAGATTTGAATATCACATGAAGAGGGGGGCGAGGATGTCCATTTACCTTTTTATATTTATCAGCATATGCAATGAAGATAGTGATGTAGATGAACTAGAAGATCGCTCCGATGGAATTGACAGTGGCAACCAGTATAATGTTGGGAGAGATGAAGGGCATCCCATACTATAGGCAGATCAAAAATTTCAAAAGGGAATATATGTAAGGCAATCTAGATAATTTCTCCTTTGACTGGTTTTTGATAATTCTACTAAACACTGGACTGCAGAAAGAAGCATCAAACATTCAGAAACCATGCACAAACTTCAACCTTACAAATTCAAAAGCCAGTCCATTTGTGCAGAACTGCAATCTTCTTGTTGTAGGGATAAAGGGGAAAACTTAAATGCAGAGGTCCGTGCCAACTTCTACACCCCAAAATTCAACATACACAGAAACAACCTAAATGGGTTTCAACATGAAAACTAATTGCGTAACACCGGACCAAAATTCAAAGGTTGGAAACCATTGAAGCTCAAGTTCATCTGATGAACGAGAAGAGGAAGAGGGAAGAAGAAGAAGAAAAGCTTTACCGGCAACTCCAGCTGACTCGCTGCAAACGGAGTAAATAGAAGACAACCTAGCTAAGATCACCATCCCTGACATTGAATGAATTTGGGTTTTCAGTCCGGCTGCCAATCATCTCTCTACCTGTGGAATAATGACAATATCCCATGTATAGGAAGGAAGAACACCCTCTGTTACGCCTCTATTTATTTGAAAATAATAACATGAATAATTCACGCCTAATCAAATAATAAACTTAAATGAAATAGAAAAAATAATTTTTCAACCGGCTCTTCAATCACAGCCACACTCTTTAAGTTTAAATCTCTAGCAACTTTTTAATCTTTTATTTTTTTAGCATAAATATATCTTTGTGTCCTAATTTAATTGTGTTATGAAATTAGAAAGGCATATTCTTTCTACTAAACAAATCAATAAGCCTAAACCTCTCCTGCTCGTATCATATTTGGGCATAGCGACTAGCCGACTAGTCTTTTATTGATTTATTTATTCATTTAACTTCTCTCATTTTCTCTTCTCTTCTCTTCTCGCCCTTTACTTTTCTTTTGCAAAATTTTTGGTGGGGAAAAATGGAAATTGTGAGGGTTTATGGTTTGGGGAAGGCAAAAAGAAAAGAGGCAATTAATGTGTGGTTGTGACGCTACGAACGCTAAAGCTTATAGTTACAATGACACAAGTGGGAACTGAGCCCGTCCAAACGGTGATGGGGCCCAATGGGAGTTGGGCTGCTTGAAGAAGTCAATCTTTATTTTGGTAAAATTAAGGTGGGCTCCGCTCATGTCCAACCCGACACCAACCAAGCCCAGGCCAATTCTTGTAGAACGTAATAATAATGAAAGAAAATGGGAAAAGGAAGAGGAAGTCGAGAATATAAATTGTCACATGGCGTATTTTGTCCCATCATCTTCTTTCCACCTTTTCTCCTCTTCCTTCCTACCCCACGCTAGTGATTTGTGTTCATTGACAACTAGAGGAGGCCTCAAAATAAGATCTGACATCTCATATGTGTGTAAATGTTACATGTATCATTAATCAATCGGATTTTATTTTCGTATTATAACATGATAATCCGCCAATAAAGTTTGGAGCGAGGATAACATGTTAGTCTCTATTGAAGAAGACTCTCACCCAATAGAAAACAATTAATCGACTCACACTCATCACACTCAATCCCCTACTTCTATTCTACGGTGCTCTATTTACATAATCGGGTATTCCCTTTAATAGAATCAAAGCAGAATCAGTAATCTTGATTAAAGAAGAATTGAGCCATAAACATGCACAGATTGAATATGAACCCAAGGTTAGCAAGAAATAAAACTCATACAATCATCCAATCAAACAAAACATGATAGGATTCCTCAAAACCTAAGTGAAGGGAAGTTACTCCATAGAGAAGAGAGCCAATACAAAAATATGTATTTGATGATCAATCCTCACTTGCAAGCTTGTTCCTCAAGCTACAATGGAGAATAAATCCTCTAAATTTGCTCCAAGATCGCCCTTGGATTGCTTCCCCCCTCTAGGTTTCATCTCTTGAATGTTTTGGATCCAAAACCCATCTCTCTTCTTCAGAATTCGCAGACAACCTTTTATACCCGCAACATAGTCAATGTCATGGTCGTTCCGTTGAACCTCTTGGACATGACATTGCAAAATTTTGTCATTTCGGTAAGTGATCATGGGGATGTCACATGCATGGAATGGATGGCACAGTCAAGGGCATGACATTGGTGACTCTTAAAGATGATCCTGTTTTGTTAGCCAAATGCCATGGTTGGAGATGGAATTTCACGGCCGAGACCATGACTTTGGAGGCATGTTGATGACTTTGTTCGTTGACTCCGTTCAGTCCCTTTTTTTTCCTCCAATCATCCCGAAACTCGCTACTAAGCTCCATTCACATACTAGAATCTAAAACATTTCAAAATAAACACAACCTAGCATAAAATAGGACATGAAAAAAATATTACAAAACCAAACAATCAAGAAATGAGGATAAAATCATGTGTATCGCTTATCACTTCACATCGATCACTTACTCAATTTTCATTAACGATCATTGATTTCCAAATTTCATATTGTCAAGAGGATTGTGACTGGGTGACTCTCTCTCTCTCCCATATCTATTTGTGATGTGTGTTGAGGGCCTCTATCATAGATTGCTAAGACTGTGAATTCATGACATATTTATAGAGTTCAGATTAATCAATTGGCACCAAAACTTTTACATATGTTCTTTTCAAGCTTAAATGATGGCGTTCAAAAGTTCAGCCTGACACTTGGTTGGTTAATGAACCGATCAAATTTATCGAGTTTTCAGTCTTGAACAGATACGAGCTACATCTACTAGGACGCCTAGGCCCAACTAGTACTTTGGGTCTGTATTGAGTCAGTCGAACTATATAGTCGAGTGATAACCTTGAACTCCCCCCCCCTTCATTGCAGATGTAGTAACGATAGATATTAGTTATATAACAAAGTAATTGTAGGTTGTCACTCAAAAGTTAGTAATTCCGCTTAAGGTAAAAATATTCCTCTAGAGATTCACTCATAACACTTTACTGACTAAGAAGAACATTGGCAGAGCGAGAGAAAAACACATCAACTGCACACCTTTTGATAATGAGACACATAATCATATATTCAGAGAATGTTAGTGGGAATCTTAGATTTGGAGACTCAGTGATTTCATATGTTTTTTCGAGATGGGTTTAGACTAACACGTGGGAGCTATTTGTGTGAGATTACGGAAATAAGGATGATATTTTGGTACTTATAGAGTGAACGTAATAACTAAATGTTCAACAATAAGAAACTTGAGGAGTGGAAAATCATCCAAAAAGCCATTGGTCCAGGAAATCCTCTACCGACGATCGGGGTTGTTTGTTGCTATAGAGGTCTGGAGAGCTGCATTGGTTTGAGTTAGGTTTGCTTGGGGACAAGCAAACGGTTAAGTGTGGGGGAATTTGATAACATCGGATTTGCACATGTTTGCACCCTCGTTTCTTGATCATTTTGGCTTGAGTTTCTGCTTTCTTGGACACTTTTATGCTAGGTTGTGTTACTTTGTCACATTTCAGGTCCTAGCATGTAAATTGAAGCATAGGCGCAAGTTTCAAGTCAATCAGAGATCATTTGGCAATTCGGGAGAAGAAACACGAGCATGACCTGAGGAATAATGGACTTCTACCTCATATTATGGACAAATAATCATGGAATTTTGTCATGAAAAGAAAGAGGATGAGACTACGAGCGTCTGGGATCAAACGGCGACTGATTCGGAGTCCGGACAAGGGAGAAACGAAGCATTAAACAGAGGCTGAGCAAGCCACACGGGCATCCTGGAACTCCACACGGCCGTGTGGGTCGTGGCCGTGTGGAAATCACCGAGCCTTCACACGGGCAGCTGGGAAAGCCACACGGCCGTGTGGCCTGGCCGCGTGATCGGGAATTTCTGTTTAAAACCCGATTTTCAGCAAAAGGAAAGGGGAGAGCTGGGTTTTTGGTTCCCAAACACCCAGGGGACGAACCCTAGAGAGAGAGAGAGAGAGAGACTTGAGAACATTCTTGGAGCTATTTTGGAGGATTTCTTCGCCATTGGAGCTCGGGAATCAAGCTTGGAGATGGAGATTGAAGATCTAGATCAGATTTCTGCAGTCTCTCTCTTCTCTATGGAGTAACTTCCCTTCACTTAGGTTTTGAGGAACCCTAGTTCCATGTGTTAGGATCTTTCTTGTATGAATTTTTGGATGCTATATTGTTTGATTATAATCGATTGAGGCATGATTTATTGAGTCAATTGAATCTTGATCAAATTCTCTTGATTTCTGCTTTAACCTATGATAGATAGAATCTGATTAGGTTAAGAGAGCTTCCTTGATTGATAGTGGTGAATTGGTTGTGCGAGAGTCAATCAATTCACTGCTTTGTACTGGAATTCATTCCAGTAGTGGAGTTCTGTGTTCATAGCCTCAGCTTTCTATCCTGGTGAAGACTAGTCGTCTGCCGGTTAGTTGGACTGAGAGGGCTTGGTCAGCTTAAGAGATTCCAAGCTAATTTAGGATCTTCCGCAGTTTAATCAACAGTAGATCAACCAAAGGTAATTGCAACTTGGACCTAATTGAGAAGCTAGGGGGAATCATACCTAAGTGAGTTCCCAACTTGTAATTAGTAGAGTAGTCAGTAGAGTAGTTTATAAATCAATCCTTAATCTAGTTTGCTAGATAATGAACTGAAGCCGAGTAATAGTAACTCTAGAGACCCGTGGATTCGATATTTATTACTTGTGCCACTATACTGCAGTCCCTTTCATTGGTTACACTTGGCCATTGTTAGGTGTTGTGTTTTAGCGTGTCAATATTTGATTTCTAATTGGTCCTCTGCACATTTTAATTGCTAATTGTTGAGGTGTCTATTATGTTTCTTTTGTGTTAGGCACATTCAGTAGTGCATGCACATGGTGAATTGTTGCAGCACTATGGTGTTAAACCTGTTCTCGTCTTTGATGGAGGTTTTCTGCCGATGAAGCTTGAACAAGAGAACAACTGTGCAAGGTAGCATCTGTAATTGCTAAAATTCGTCAGATGTCAATAAGGGTTCTTTAATTGTTGTCTGTGAATTTACCAATAATCATCTTGAGGTCTCAACTATATCCATAGCTAGCTGATGTTAGCTACTAGAGAACTTGTTAAGCAGGTGTAATTGAAATAAGGCAATGTTTGTGACTGCATGTACTCTTATAATTGCAGGTCAAGAAAGGAAAACCTTGCTCGTGCCATTAAGCATGAGGCTATTGGAAATTCTTCTTCAGATTATGAGTTCTACCAGAAGGCTGTTGATATATCGCCTTCAATTGCGCATGACCTAATTCAGGTGGAAATAACAATCATGGATATCTACATGTGCTGCTCTTATTATTCTCTCGCTAGTAGCTGATATAACCTACAACAGTTTAACATTATTGCATGAGAAGGTCTTAAAGCAGAAGAGTGTATCATATGTTGTGGCTCCTTATGAGGCAGATGCACAAATGACATTTTTGGCCGTAAATAAGCAAGTGGACACAGTTATCACCGAGGACTCAGATCTTATAGAATTTGGATGTCCTATAGTGAATTATCTTGTCATTGATTTTCTTGAACTACTTACCATGTCCTGTGTCTCCTACCACATTGTCTCAATCTTGGATGGAGGGTGCTAATCAGCTTTCAATACAAATCATATTCAAAATGGACAAGTATGGGCAAGGTGTTGAGTTTCAGTATTCTCGGCTTGACAAGAACAGGGAGATATGTTTTGTTGGGTTCACTAATCGAATGGTTCTAGAGATGTGCATTCTGAGTGGCTGTGACTATTTGCAAACACTGCCTGGTATGGGCCTAAAAAGGGCTCATGCATTAATTTCAAATTTCAAAAGTTATGAAAAGGTATGTCTTTTTACAACTCGACACATCGGTAAACTAGATAAAATGAAGCTTGTGACCTTTGTACCTCATCCATACATGAAGAAAATCTCAAGTTTGACTTGGCATGGAATTTGAGAACTAATGCATCTAAGTAATGTGATTGATGATTCAACTACAATAAGGGAATCATGCATTTGAGATATAGCACAACCACTGTTCCTCCTCTCTATGAAGAATCATTCAGGAAAGCAATATTGACTTTCCAGCATCAACGGGTGTATGATCCTGTTGCTGAGGATATTGTAAATTTGTCGGACATTCATGAATGTCAGGGTGGCGATGTAGACTTTCTTGGCCCATATCCTTTAAATTGGTCTTATTTGTTGGCCTATTACTCTGAGTTTACCATACTTTAATAATCAAGTATATCATCTCAGTTCTCAGTTGTCCCTTAATGTGGAATGTAATGCACGGATTCCACAAGATGTGGAAAAAGGTATTACTACAGGGGATTTGGATCCGTTTACTCAAATGACATTTCAGGTATTCCATCTCTCCTCCCTCCTTGACTCTCCATGTTTTCGCCTGCCCAATTTTTCTTCCCTTTTTCCTAATGCCTACTTGATACATTCTACACTAGCAGGGAAGAAATGCAACTTCTGTAGCTGGGCTTAGTGGAACTTCAAAAGTCAAGACCTTTAAGCCTGAAAGTACAACAAAGAAGATTGATTTGCCAGTGCAGAAGAATCTTCTAACTAATTACTTTTGTATCCTGAACAACTTCTCGATAATCTTTGACCATAGATTTCTTGCTTTTAGGGTTTATACTATGCCATAATGTGGCATTCAAAACTTTGATTTTATGACTCCTATCCTTATGTGTCATTACAATGATTTGCCTTGCCTATGACAAGATCCTAGGTGAATAGTATTATTACCGGCTTCTGTGCTTATGTTATCTAGAGTTACTTCATATCCTGATTTCTTTAACAGTACTGGAAGGGTTTGCATCTATGAAAGCCAAGAGAAAATTCAAGAAACCTCGGAAGTCACCTACGAATACAAGTCCATTGGATATGTCTACCCTAAAAGAGAATTGCTACACTGAAGCTGATTCTGGCCAAATGAGCATCTCTCCATCCGCCTATAACTCTTAAAAGCTGTCTACCATAACTTCTCATGATATTGTAAGTGAAAGTGATTTGGCATTCGAGCAGTATCATTGACATCCCATTGGTCATTATTTTCATGTCATTGGTAAAATCCTTCTGTCAATACAGGTGGAAAGCCAAGGTGAACCCACGTTTTCGCATCCTCCATGCTCTAGTAAGGGTGCAACTTCCTTTAAATCATACTTACACCATCACCATGCACTGATGACAAACAGTACTGGAGGAACAAAGCATAAGACATATGCCCCTCAAAGCTTTTGGGCAATTACTGAATCAATCTGGTCAAGCAGTACTGAAAGAGTGTGAATCCAAAAACTATCAAAGTACAACCTAAGGGATAGTGCGAGGAGTAGAACACAAAAAGGTCATTGTCAGGAGTCGTTACTTCCAACACAAGCCCATTAACGAGGACAACCAAGAGAGTATTGAAGAGAGATCTCATTGCTATACCAATGTTTCCAGTGATCTGTCCGAAGAGAATGGCGATTTGAGTCTTTCTACCATGACAAAGAAAAAAGGCAATGCTGAAAAGAGCAGGCAAGAAAGTCTACTAAATTTGGATGTAGACAATTGTTGGTCGAGATCAGAGCTTGGACTTGGATATTCAAGGAAAGTCAGCTATTTTTGGTAACTCTATATTCTCTGCTCAATCACAGCTTGGATCAGCAACGAATTTCTTCTCCAACGGCTAGCTAGAGGAGGATTATATATTCGAATCTCTGGGTCTCTCTAAAGTAACTTTTGTAATCTCTTATAATAGTGGTAGAGGGCTAGTCTATCAAGAGCAAAAGTGGGATCTTCTCCAGGGGTATAGGTTATGTGAGAGTGGCTGAAAGGGTTAGAGTTGGATCAAACTCTGTTTGCTTTGATTTGCTTTTTCGTTCTGTAATTGTGTCTCTGAATCAGAAAAATATAGTGTCTCTCGGTAATAGTGTGGACTATTACCGGGACGAGGGCGTAGCCATTATTGGGTGAACCTCGTTAAATCGCTGTGTTCTTGTTCTTGCATTTGATTTATGCTTTCTGCTGCTCAACTCTGTTCTTCTTCTGCAAATCAGAAAGAAGAACAAGTGTTCTCTGGTTAAAAGGCTTTGCTCAAAACAGGCCCTCTTGGTTTGTTTCATATCTGTTCGGTTGAGCCTTATTCTCTTTTGGCCCATAACCTTGTGAGAAGAAGAGCATAAGCGTTCTCTGTTCTGTCATCTTCTTCTTCGAAGAACATTTCTTCTTTTCCCAAACTTTGTTTCAAATCCCTAGTTCTAAAATTGACCTTTAAGTGTTGCAGAGCCTGGTTTTGAAGAGCTAATTACTGCCAAAGGTTACGATCTATGGGAACAAATTCCCTAGCTGCTTTCGGTCCCGCGTCGCATCACAATCCGCCATGGTTTACAGGCTCCAACTACAATGCCTGGAAAAAACGAATGAAGACTTTCATGTGGGGGATTGATGCAGACCTCTGGTCTATTGTCAGAGATGGGCCAATAGAAATGGATGCCGATCGTCAAGACGAGTGGACTGATGCGCAGAAGAGAAGTGCACAACTCAACTGCCGAGCGATGCACATTCTGCAAACCGCCATTTCGCCTGAAGAGATCGACAAGGTGGAGCAATGCGAAACCGCGAATGAAATCTGGTCTATTCTTGAAGCCATGTATGAAGGTACGTCAAACATCAAGGAAACTCATATAGATTTGCTTATGCATGAATATGAGACCTTTGATATGCTACCTAATGAAGGGATTCATGATATGTATTCCAGATTCACAGGTTTGATTAACAAATTAAAGGGCCTAGGTAGAATTATTGTATTAAAGGACATGGTTAGGAAAATTCTTCGATCCTTGCTAAAGGAATGGCTACCTAAACGGACAGGCATTGAAGAAGCGAGAAATCTTAACACATTGATTGTTGATGAATTAATCGGATCCCTTCTCAGCCATGAGCATGTCATTAGGCAGGTAGGAAAAGAAGATGAAAGACATAAAAAGAGTCTTGCTTTCAAAAGTCGTGTGTATGAATATGAATATGAAAATGAAGTTGATTCAGATTTTGAAATAGAACTTGCCTTGTCCAGTAAGAAGTTTCATCGTATGATGAAATTTAAGAATGATCAAAGGCAACGTGTTGCAGATAATAGAGGACATTATGATCATCATAATAGGTTCTCTGAGCCAAATACTCGCTTTCCTGGATCAACTAGTCGTTATTTAGAGTCAAACAATCGGTTTCCTGATCAAAATCTCAAACACAATGAGTTTGTTCAGCGAAACAGTGACATTGGAAGAAATTCTTCAAGACATGGTAGGACTAAGAATGCTTCTTTTGAAAGATTTGCTTCGCAGGGAAAAGAAGTCCATATAGGTGCATCTGATCGTGAGCTGCAAGGTTGTTACAAATGCGGAAAAATTGGGCATGTAAGAGCCAACTGCCCTTTAACTCAGAAAGCCAAAGAAAGGGCAATGGAAGCTTCTTGGAGTGACTATGAATCAGAGGACGACAATGAAGGACATACAGATAAAGCATACATGGCAAAAATGTCAAGCACTGAAATTTACAGCCTTATCAATGAAGTCTGTGAAACAAAAAGCAAATGGTATCTGGACAATGGTTGTTCGCATCTTATGACAGGTAACAAAGCTCTTTTCTCAACCTTGAACTATGAATTAGGAGGGGAAGTTGTGTTTGGAGACAATAGTGCTGGCAGAGTTGTGGGACAAGGAACTATTGGCTTGTCTCCAATGCCAACTGTTAAAGATGTTATGCGCGTAGATGGTCTCAAGCACAATCTGCTTTCTATAAGTCAATTATGTAGTAGTGGGAACAAGGTGACTTTTGAGACTTCCCACTGTTTAGTTGAACGTGTTCGTGATAACAAAATTATATTTATTGGAAATCGTATTGGAAACATGTACGTGATTGATCTTCATGATTTGAAAGCCTTCAACGAGTCATGTCTAGTTTCTCAATCAGATTATCAGGAGAACACTTGGCACAAAAAAATTGGTAATATTAGCTTAAAAAGACTGACTGCCTTGTCAAAACCCAAGCTTGTCGGAATTCCAGATTTAAAGGAACGAGGAAATTTTTTCTATGATTCATGTGCTGCTGGAAAACATTCCAGGAGACCTTTTAAGACAAAACCTTATATTGCTACGACCAAATCATTTGAACTGATTCATATGGATCTATTTGGTCCTTGCTCTATCACTAGTCTTGGAGGAAAAAATTACGTGTTTGTTCTTGTAGATGACTACTCTAGATTCTGCTGGGTCTACTTTCTTGCTAGCAAAGATGAAACGTTCAAAAAGTTTCAGTCTTTTGTCAAAATGAATTCTGAAATTAAAAGAATCAAAAGTGAAAATGGAGGAGAATTTATTTCTGATGAGTTTTCGGAATTCTATGAGTCTGCAGGTATCATTCATACCTTCTCTGCTCCTCGGACTCCCCAACAGAATGGGGTAGTTGAGAGGAAAAATCGTACAATTATTGAAACTGCCAGAACTATGTTGATTGATTACAATCTCCCTAAGTTCTTTTGGGCAGAAGCAGTAAGTACATCATGCTATGTGATAAACATGGTGTTAGTGCGAAAAAATCTAAATAAGACGCCTTATGAAGTCTTAAAGAAAAAGACACCAAACATCTCTTACTTTCAACCCTTTGGCTGTCGATGCTTTACCCTTAATACTAAAGATACTCTTGGTAAATTTGACGCTAAGTCAGATGAGTAAAATTTCTTAGGGTACTCTTTGAAAGGGCAAGCATATAGAATTTACAACAAACGTACACGAAAGGTGGAAGAATCATTTCATGTTTTGTTTGATGATGCTAATACCTCTGCTAAGATATGTGAGACAGGTACTCAGTCACTTGATTTGCTGAATTGACGCACTGCAAAGAAAAAATCTCAGCACATGCGACAGAGTCAGCTGAATCATCATTGAAACAAGAGTCTCAGAATGTTACTCAAGTTCAAACTACAGTCTCCCCTATGTCAGAATCGGTTACTGAACCAGAACCTGAGCTTCATCAGTCTAGTGAAGATAATAATGAAATTCGAGCACCGCCTCATATTCAAAAGCGACATCCTGAAAGTCAAGTAATTGGGGATATTAGAGATGGCCTGCGCACTCGAGGTATGTACACTCCAGGTCAGTATGCTTATGTATCTAAGTTAGAACCTAAGACCTATAAAGAAGCTTTGCATGATGAGGAATGGGCTTATGCTATGCTAGAAGAGTTGTCTCAGTTTGAGTATCTAAAGGTCTGGGATCTAGTTCCTAGGCCTCTTGGTAAAACAATCATAGGTACTAAGTGGGTTTTTTCGCAACAAGTCTGATGAGGAGGGAAATATAATCCGCAACAAGGCACACCTTGTTGCACAAGGTTATTGCCAAGAGGAAGGAATAGATTATGGTGAAACCTTTGCCCCTGTAGCTCGTCTAGAATCAATTACATTGCTATGTGCCTTTGCTTGTCATATGAATTTTCCTCTGTATCAAATGGATGTCAAAAGCGCTTTCTTGAATGGGGACATTCAAGAAGAGGTTTATGAACCTCCTGGATTTATTGATTTTCAGCATCCTGACTATGTGTACAAGCTGAACAAAGCCTTGTATGGGCTTAAACAAGCTCTTAGAGCTTGGTTTGATTGATTGACTAGGTTCCTTAAGGATCTATCCTTCTCTCAAGGATCAGTCGATAAAACCTTTTTCACTAAGACTTCTGGTTCTCACCTCCTTGTTGTTCAAATCTATATTGATGATATAGTGTTCGGATCCACTGATTCTGCTATGTGTTCTGAATTTTGTGAAGCAATGAAATTAATCTTTGAAATGAGTATGATGGGTGAGCTTCAATTCTTTCTTGGTCTGCAATTCAAACAAACTTCTCATGGTACTTTTATTAGTCAATCTAAATATATAAATACCATGCTGCACAAGTTTGATCTTTATAACATTAATTCCAGTCCAACCCCTATGGCTGTGAATTCAAAATTAGATAAAGATGAGAAAGGTACCCCTGTAGATGCAAAGTTGTATCGGGGAATGATTGGCTCCTTGCTATACCTAACTACAAGTCGTCCTGATATTCAATACAGTGTTTGCTTATGTGCTAGGTATCAAGCTAGTCCTAAAGTTAGTCACTTAGCCGCTGTGAAACGTATTTTTCGCTACTTGAAAGGAACCATGAATGTAGGTTTGTGGTATCCTAAGCAAGATAGTTTTGACTTACTAGGCTACAGTGATTCAGACTTCGCTGGAAGTCTCACTGATCGAAAAAGTACAAGCGGTGCATGTCAATTTGTTGGTACTTCACTTATTTCTTGGTCATGCAAGAAACAAGGAGCTGTAGCATTATTGATAGACCGATAATTATACATGTTTTCACCCCTATTCTGAAGCCGTTTGTGATGAGGAAACTCGTGTTTTAAGCCGATTTCACGCTAGGTTGTGTGTTTATGTCATATTTCAGGTCCTGACGTTGGAATCGAGGCGAAGGAACGAGTTCCGGGTCG